AGGAATACCAATTACCAGTTTCTGAGAATTTGGAGATTGATTATACGTCTGCATTGGGAAAACACCTTATGCATAAAAGGATTTGCCTCAGTAGCCACTGGATGTCACTGTTGCACAAGCCTCCAGCCAGAGTTCAGTTTTACAGCACTAGCTTGAGAAATACAAATGGTTTGATGTGCTTAATCCTTGCATAAATTCATTTTGTTTGAGTGATAGAGAGTAACTACAGCATCTAGATTCATCAAACTTCACACTTTTTGTACCTAAAAAAGGAACTCTGATGAAGCTGAACTAGGGTTATATAGAAAATAAGGCATGAATAAAAGAGAAGGAAATAATTTAATGAAATATTCAGTCATTAAAAAAAACTGTGAACCAGAGCACAATTGGTTCCAATCACCAAAAAAAACCCCCAAATTAAATTATCTACCAGTTTCTTTTAGTTTTTTTTTTTTCCACAAATCAGTTTTAAATTTCAAATATTTCAGAAACCCAAGGATAAAAATGTCTATTAAATTATAAAGGACAAAACTAGATCCAAAAATTAAGTATTTAAAACTGTAAACAGAAGATTCTTGCGAGTATCATTTTAAAACTGTGATTTTGAAGGGTTAGAGGGATCAGAGCCTACCTGTTCAGAGCAAACACTGATTGGCTCTCTGAGAACTATCCAGACAACACTTTCAAGAAGGGGTGGAACAGTAAGAGAGCCAAAATATGTCCAGTAGTCCAGAGAGCGGGGAAGCAGACAGGAAGGGTCAAAGTTTGTGAACAAGGCTCGTTTACCCTGGAAAAAAAAAAAAAGAGAGGGTATTTATTTTAACCCATGAGCACCTCATCAAGAAACCATTTGTTATGCAAATTAGTAAATTGCTCTACTGTCACTGATGTAAAAATAATGGGCGCTATAAAATGTTGCTTCCTTGAAAACAACAGGCACAACCAGCCACAGCCTAGGTAAAGCATGCTAGAAGCCCCCTGGCAGAGACTGTTCCATTGTGGAACAGGGTTTGCGGGGTTCTGGAGGTTTTGGTGGTAGCCCAGAGCCATCCATGTGATGAATCTGTGCCATCTTTGCCATTAAACACCGCAGGAAGTGCCATGCTTCCATTGAAGCTTGCCGTTACCATAGCCTCCCCTTGACTATCAAGGATCCAGGGATGGAAGCTGTAAGAGAAAGACAGTAAAGCCTGGGAATGTATTCCCATTATATTTCTAAAATCACCAGGGTGTGGCAATATGCATCTCTGACCCTGATGACACTCTTCCTCCCCTGGCATTCTCTTCTCGTCACAGGGACTTCTGTACTGACAAACTCCCCAGGAGGTTTGGTGCTAGAGGCCGACACCTCACACATAAAGAATAGATTAATTTATACAGGGCCCTTGTACATTCCTAGAAAACAAGGAAGTCAAACCAGACTTTCCTTCTTTACTGCTTAAAAGAAATTTCCCAGACAAATCATGCAGTTACACTGTGTCAGTGATCTTGATAATAAATAAGATATATCAGAGGTTACCATTTACTGTGGCTAATTAACATTTTCTTCCACTCACTTCACACTGTATGACAGAGAGAGGTAGTTAGCTATGACAGTCTTTAGACAGGCAGAAGCCAGGACAGGGTGGCTCCTTGCAGACTCACTGGTTCAAAAATGTGTAAGTTTTTGTAGGCAACAGCCTATTTCATCAAATGATGCAAGTAGGAACATCCTGACTGTACAACAGAGTAATTTAATTACTAATATGCTGGCCTGCTTTTAACATTACCCAACAAGATGACTCCTGAACTGTCCCAGATTAGATCTAGTCCCTATTTCCCAGCTATAAATACTTAAAGAATAAGAATGTGAATTATAAGGAAAAGGACAACAGTAGAAATCCTGGAAAACTTGAATGTTCCTTCAGGTGAATAACTTTACCTTGGCCCTGATGGCATCCAAGCGGTCTGTAATTTTCTTTAGCTGAGGATTACATTCGCCAATCTGTAAACAGAAAAAGGGCAACAATTATTTTCTTAAGGAAAGAATATGCCTTAAACTTTGTTTCAACTGTATTCACATGGGACCTGATCCTTCACTCATTGAAGTTAAAACTGATAAACTTCAAAGGATGTAGGAGTCAAGCCCATAACTAGTTAAATCTACATTCACAGATATTATTTTAGCTATATTTTTAGTTCCCTTTGTTGCAGTAGAATAAAAGAAAACATTTTCTCTTTTTACCAATATTTTTAGAGGAACTGTAACAACCTCAGCTGATTCACATATGAATAAGTTACCTGTAGTTCACTCTATACAATTTCGTTCCTTAAAGTACACCTGAAAATTCAGAAACTTGATTCTCCTGGGTC